TGGCTGAGGTCTTGTGGGTAAAGTGAGGTTGGGTCCATTCATCACTTCTGTCTCCGGTTTTTAGAATTTCGTCCCGGAAGACTATAGTAGTACTGGTGCATGTGTAAAGAAGAGGGCTCTTCGATCACTGGAACTATGGTTTTATTTGTGTGAGCTTTCGGACTCCTACTGGATTCCATCATCAGCGATAAAAGTGGGAACGGAAAACAAGCGACAGCTATAGGGGGCAGTGGCCAGTTAGCCACTAGTGACATCAGTCCTGAAATGACTGCGCAGGGCTCTGTATGCAGGCGCCCGGTCGATAAGTCGATTGACTGAGTACTCATCGGAGGCCCAAGCTTTAATCAATCTCCGGCTTACCCTGTTTCCGGCGTGGGCGATTGCCTTCGCGTCTGCGAAGACAAAGTGGACGCGCATACACGAGCACAAGCTGGCTATAAGACGGGGTGATGCATTATCACAAGTGGCTGCTCTATGACGGTAGGGTTCAAGAGTTTAGCTTCACAGTCGCGAAGCTAGTTTTCCACACCTGAAGCAACAAAAGCCGGGAACTGATTGAAGCCTAGGCTTCAGGCGAGCACTCAGTCAATCGACTTATTGATCTGGCGCTGGCATACAGAGTCCTGTGTAGTCACCTCCAGACTGACTTCGCTGATGGCTGATTAGCCCTTGTTGCTAGTTATTTTTTGTTGACGCTTTTATCTTTGAGGATGGAATACTGTAAGTGTTCGAAAACCTAGATGAATAAAGCAATAATTCCGGTGATCGACGAACCTTCTTCTTCTGAACGTATACGCTCGCATCTGGGATGCAAACATTCGTCTAAATTCGTGAGTTCTGGTGTAATTGATTTAAGCATGACGCTAAGCATGACCTAGTTGCTTGCCAAAACGCACTCCTTCTGATACTCTTACTGAGTCGTCGCAGCCGGTCGCACGGCCAAAAGCACTGCTCACAGTTGATAAGACATCGAGCCCGTGGTTTAATAGGAGGATTTTTAACTTTTTGCTCTGACAGGACAGGAGAATACGAACAAGATGCAGTAAAAGTGGCACCTGTCAACGTGTCTGTGTATGAACCCAATTCTTAACGACGCCAGTAATAAGCGGAGGCGGGGGGGATTATATTTGTACTTTTTTACGGTTTTCTTACCCGTTCGCGCTCTCCGTCCCTCTTTTAGTCACTCCTCCCCGGTCCTCCCTTCGCCTTTGGTGCCATCCTCGCTCTGATGGCCATAATCACGGCCATCTTTCTGCCGGAGGATTCTCGTCCCGCTGGTGGTGCCTCACTGGGGGAGCACTGGGCGGACCCCGAGGAGAGGG